GTTAATGATAGTTCCAATGACGTAATTTATTGGAAGTTTTAAGAAGACATGAATGGTTGTATTTTTTTGTTTGTTAATTTACAAAATTTAGAAAAATAAAAAATTAAAGTAAGCAAAAATTAAACCTTGAAAGATTGATGGTCCAACAGGTGGTGCAATAATGGCTGGACAAGTTACTTTTTGAATTGCACTTCGTAAACGAGCATTTAAATCTTCAAATGCATTTACATGGAATGTTCGCTTTGTTGAACCTAAAAATGTGGAGAATATGCATAAAATTTGAAATAATTAACTTTGTTTATTGTTAAATGAAAGAAAATTTCACAATTTTACAATTTATTTTAACATTTTCAACGATATAGAATGCAAATATTAAATGATATTATTTGCATTAAGATATCTTTGGAAAAATTATTTGCTAATATTAGGTTAAATGATGAGAAATATTTGAAATAAAATACCAGAAATCACTTCCAATTCAGAATCCAATGCATGATTTGTAACACCAACTGCAAAAAGTTGTATTTGTTTCATTCTTGCATTTCGTACAGCAATCGTAACATCATCTTGTGATCGTCCATCTGTAATAACAATAAGTATTCGTGGTACTCCATTACCAATAGGTCGAGCACCACGACGTTCACTGAATCCTTCATCAGTAACATGTTGTATTGCTGCACCTGTTCTTGTTAAACCTGTCAAATATCTGAAAATGATTTAATCATTTCAATTCATTCATATCATTCATATGGTATATTGTATCGAGTAAAATCAAATCTTCTCTCATTTGTAAATATACTGATAATATGATATTATTTGAATAGATTATCATAAATATTTGAAAATTTGATATTATCTGTGATAATATCTCTTCAATATGTTGAGGAATTTTTTGAAAAATCTTTGAAAGGTATAAATTAACTTACTCGATACCATTAATAGCTTGCTTTAATTGCTCCATCGAAGAATACTGATTTAAGTCAATTTCATGTCTGATAACATCCGAGTACTGTATCACAGCTACATGGGTTTGTTGTGGAGAAACATCAAATAATTCAATAAAATCTTTCACAAAACGAAGCACCTATAAGCACAATTAATTTATAAAGCAGAAATTGTCACATATGGAAATCATTTCCATCGATAATCTTCTAGTTCTTCTACTTTCTTTGTAATTAATCTAATTAATATAGTAATTTTCTTAAGACACACAGGTAACTTTTTTACAATGATTTTACTAAATTAAAAAATCCAAGTATAACTTTTGAACCTCTTTATGAAAGACATCCGAACCAATAGAACCACTTCCATCAACTAGAAAGACAAGATCTGTTGATTGAGCTGGGCTTAAAATTATTCATATTATTTGAATTATGCAATTAATACTAATTATCATAAAATGAATTTCCAAAAAGCTAACGCCTAGATGAAATAAACTTATAACATTCAAAAATCAGAATTCAAAATCGGAATTTGAATTAAAATTAGGCACACTTATTGAAAATAGAATTATGAATTTGTGGGTCAATGCTAGACAAAAGTTTCTATTCTCTCATTAAAGGTTAGCATAGCATGCTTAACAGTTTACGGTAACATTTTGCTATCAATGTAACACGTACGTCAAAGTATTGCATACGCAAGCTATCAATTTATGGAAGTAAAAAAAAACAAGGTATGACATTCTTGTAACATTCCTCGGCGGTATAAAATAGAAAATCATGTAAACTGAATGCGTGAATTGACGTAATAACAGGACAAGTTAGCTTAAAATAATAATTTATTTTTTCCTTACCAATGAGTTTGCAGAGTACATACGCGTCCAGGTGGTAATTTAGCGTTACTAGAAACGTCAAAATATCCGGTAACGCAAATGCAAGTATAACCATCCGGTAGCGTTACGCAATCCGCATTTTCATCGCATGAGTTAGCTAATCGATTAGCGCATTGATTCCTGGCTATAATTATTTTTAATTTTAAATGAGACAACCGAAAAAAGTATATCAAACGTTTAATCATTTAATTTAGCGCATAATTTAATTTTGAAAGTAATATGCATCACAAACATTGAGCACAACGTCGTCCAGGTTTTAAGTCATAACGTGAGGAGACATCCGTATATCCAGCATTACACTGGCATAGGTATGATTCCAACGTATCGATACACGTAGCATACGGTGAACAGTCATGTTTATTCGTGCCACATTCATTAATTACTGTAAGCAATAATTGCATGAAACTGTTATTTTCCTCATTATTATCTAATTAATGATAAGTTTTAATTTGCTCTATTTTTATCTAATTTCTTCAACACTTTCCCATTAATATGAAACTTCTATTCTTTCCCGCTATACTATTTTTTACTTACTTACATTTATGTAAATTAATAAAATTTACGTCGAGTGCATTTTCTTCCAGGTAACCGTAATGGATCAGATGATGTATCCAAGAATCCTGGTGGACATTGACATTGATATCCGTCATATGTATTCGAACAGATTGCAACCAAATCACAGTCATTATATTTTTCGCAATGATTGAATGCTTCAAAAAGAAAAACAACAGGTAATTAATTAGTAGACTATAGGATATGCAAAAAAAAAGAGAAAAAAAAGAAATTGTAAAATTATTCGCAAATATCTGAAAAGTATTTCATAAAAATTAATTGAAATCATTTGTTTTAATTGTATGAGATTTCTAAAAATTGTATGATATTATATACTGGAAATATAATTAAAATACTAAAAATATTTCCAGGATTTTTAAAATTCTTCTTTTTTTTATTTTTTTGAAGTTCTAAAAGGATGTTAAAACTTACTTATGCATTGTCCATTGGAAGTTAAAATGCCACGTTGTGGACATTGGCATGAATGCATACCTTGATCACCACTTAAACATACTTGATTCATTGAACATATTGGTTTAAAAACTGGATGACATCGAAATTGCTGAAATATATTGTATCAAAAAGGATGAAATAAATGTTAAATTAATTGAGAAATTTACTTCGATAACATTAAATTTAAAAGATTTATGTTTGATTAAATGAATAAAATAAATAAAATTCCAAAAAATTTCATTGATTTTCTAATATTATCATTCAAATTATTTCTCAAAAAAAATAAATAAATAAAACATCAGAATATGATTTGTAAGAAAAAAATAATAGCAAAACCATTTGTTGTGATTTGGCTTCATTGATATATTGGGGACTTTTTGGCGCGATACATTGACGGCCTGGATAATGGGTAGTATTTGGACTTGCATCCACAAATCCTTCCTTGCATTTGCATATGTACCTGAAATAACTTTCAACTAAGTTCAAACATTGAGTGTTAAGGAAATGGACAATAACGCAATTGAACCAATTTATTAAGTAATTAAATGCTTTATCGGTATTTAGCTTCCGCAACGGATTACTAACATATGGACGTGTACTTTCTATCACTACCACTATCATTATCACCTGAAAGAAAAGAACGGTTCATCTCAAAGACTGATAAAATAATACAATTGATACAAGTTAGATAATTTTTTAAGATAACATTACTATTTACAAATATTATAACTACCGTAAAGATTGGATAGCATACCAAATCTAATTATCTAAGAATCATTAAGATCTCTAATTAGGTCATACTTAATTAATCCATTAATTAGATATCACGGGTGTTTCAAATGTTTGTTGAAAAGATCCGGAATGTTGAATATCCAGCAACATAGCTTCCCGTATTTCTAGACAATCTAATTAAGTCAAGAAAATCAATGAATTACTTAGTATCATCCGGAAAAATTACCGGAGCAAAGATCATTTTTACCACTTTTTATTTATTGCTTAATGTCTTAAGATTTGATAATATTGATTGATAATGATAACAGTCTTTTATCTTCAATTATGATAAAGATTGAGAAATAAAGATAAGTTTTAATTACTGTCTTCTTATGTTTATTTTTGAAATTCACTTCATTAATATGGTGCAATTCTTACGCAAATAACAATACTAGAAAGTAGAAGAAAACAATTCTAGCTGACCTTAGTTGACCTTTTCAATTATTCAAAATTATGCTTGCAAAATACTTGTTCATAATATGGCGCATATTGACAGATGATGACTGTGAAAGAGTATGAGACACTTAATTATTGAGAATGATAATTTAATTTGAGACATATTGTGTCATTTCGTTTCATATCTCATTAAGAAATAATGTGCACCGGATGACATCATTAAATTTTATGGCCATTAAGTTGACATGAGCATAAAATCTAGGCCTTAAAATAACTTCATTTTCTCTTTAAATTTAAATCCATTTTGTAAACAGAAAAAAAAAGAAAGAAACTGATGATGAGAATAACCCACCCAATCGGTTGATCGATACATTCAGCATCAGGTGAGCAATCATTTGTACCACTGTGACATTCATTGACATTTTCAACGCACTAAATAAAACAAATGACTTATGCAAAATCATTGAATCATAATTAAGTAATTGAACAAATAAATTAATTACGATAAATTATCAGGATAATCATTATCAAGACAACAGATTGTAATTTGAAGGGATTTAAAAAGCATCTATTAGTTACTGTTGTGATATTGAAGATAAAACAATCACAGTACGGAAATATATCATAATTAATGATAATAGTATGATAAGTTTTACCTTTCTTCCAGGTAATCGAGAGTAATGAGCACTAATATCTGTATATCCTGGATTACAAATACATGTAAAACCTTCTGCTGTATCTTGACATTTGGCATTTTCGGAACAATCAATGTTATAATTAACAGGATCAATACATTCATTCACTTCCTTTTGACATATTCGACCTGGCTTTTTTTCTACATCTTCCGATACATCAGCAAAACCGTTTAAGCATCGACACGTGTAACCTTCAATCTAGAATATTTAAGAAAGAGAATTAGTTTATAATTTATTCCTCAAGAAGTATTATATTTCAAATAGACGAAGAGAGATATGAAATTATTCCGGCAAAGCTTAGAGTAGGAAATTAGAAATCAGGAATAACTGATTATCATATTTGTAAAACTTTCAATCAATCCTGAAATTGAACGAAGTATAAACGGTCGATTATTACAAATGTGACATGTATCAAGAATTGTATTTGTGGTAGCTGTAGTAGAAAGTGTTGTTTGATTTTGAACTATAAATGATGACCTGTTTTGATTTATTTACCAAACAAACTTTCACTCATATCACGTTCCACACGTTTCACACGTATTAACCTTTTATACAATTAACAGCGTAGACAGTTCAGTACTTTCACAATAAATAAGCAAACAACAATTAAAAATGATTTTAATTATTGAAATTCAAATATTCTATCAACCGTCTACCATATTACTTTTCCAAATTTCTCATCTTTTCTGGGCTTATTTTATTTTTCATGAAATCTCCTAAATGTTTGACATGAAATTTCAAAAAATTCAATTACTGCTTTATCTAAATTCTAATGACATCTCATTTCCTGTATTTCAGTTTATACCATTAATTTTTAAAATGAAAATGATACATTTTAAGGTTTCCCTTCACGAGATTGCTCATTCTCTTAATAATCAGAAACTAAAATTCGATTATTCAGGTTAAAAATTAATCAGTTTTTCCTGATTTGAAGTTTCACATCAGATGTCACTCTTGTAGTCTTATTAGACGAAATTTACAATTCCAAGTAAATCTCGTCGCATTTTGCTCATTCATCTCATATTAAATTAAGTAATAATCGATAAGTAATGATTAGATTTCTTGCTTATCGAACATTTATTTCAATGTTTACAATTTTAGCACAAAAAAAAAAAAAATTTAACCTACTAATGTCATCGTATGAAAACTGGTTTTGATAGATAAATAACGTTTGTTTTTCAAGCGATACATACTTTTACTTATAGTTTAAAAGAAAAAAAAAAGAAAAAATCGAAAAAAACAAAAATTTGACAATTCTTGGTGACAACGAAACAACATTCATTACTTGAATGGTAAAAAAAAAATTTTTTTAATGATTTTTGACAATTTCTTTTAAATAATTTCTACTTTTTTTTTTGTAAACTGTGATCAAAAATCGGCCTAAGCAATATAATTAATATTTCTAAACATTAACCATTTGCGCAATCTTCTGATCACAATGCGCAATTTTTACTATCATCCATTTAATTTGGTCAAATTTCAAAAAATAAAAAATAAAAACTTTTTGAAATAACCTGATCGATGCATATTGCATTTTCATGGCAGTCATTAAGACGTTGCTCAGAACATTCATTTATTACAATACATCGGCCATCTACACTTCGACCAACACCTTGTGGACATTGACAGCTATAGCGACCATTACGAAACATGCATACTTCATGCTTACTTTGATTACAAGCTATTGGATCATCCACACGACACTCAGAATATTGTCCTGCAATCCTTGGCAAATTTTCATTTTCTCAATAATTTATTTAATTGTTTTAATCTTTTTCAAGAAAAAATTTTGCACTTAAAACTTCAATTTTAAATTGTATTGACTGAAATGTAAATTTTGGTTAAATTTGAATTAAATTTTAAACTGGAATTTATAAAAAACAAAACAATTTGTTTTACTCATATGTTATATTCACTTATAAATTTTGAAATAAAATTTGGTCAAATTTTTTGAAATTTTTTTTGTTTTAAATATTTTATTCATTTTATTATCATAAAATATGAAAATTACAAATATAAATAAAATGTAAAATTTTTATGCAAAATATTTTAGATGACTGGAACTGATTAGCTATTTGGATTATAAAATAGCTTAAATAGCTTTATTTTTTTCTTATTTTATAGCCTAAACAGCTAATTATTGCTGGTCATTCGAAGATCTTTTCGAATGGTTGACTTTAATAATAAGCTCATACAACATCCATCAATCATACCGTTCTGGAATGATTGTTCTGCGAGGAGAACAAAAGCACATCGAGCGATAAGTACCAACAAAGGCCATAGGTCATGAAGTTTCATTTGCAACTTTGTTCACCTAAAACTTATTCCAGGGGATAGAAATTATCGATTGATTCCTTCTTTTTTTTTTAAATTAGTATTAGTAAGATTTTAATAAACCGTGCCAAGAGTGGAAATGAAGGAATCAAAAGATACATTTGCGCCAAGCTCTTTATTAAAAGCTTAACAGGCGGAAAAATTACTTCTCTCATGGCCAGTTTATTGTAGCGTGACAGAAATGTCACATAAACAATGTAAGCTAGAATAACAGTCTATACATGATGAAAATTAATGCTGGACAAAGTAAACTGTTTAATGGAATGCTAAGGAATGATGGATCACTTAAATATATTTATTTTGTCACATGCATGAAATGCATACACGTCACGAATATGTCAACGCTTCTAGCGGTGATGTCATTCTGGTGGAACTCGGGAATATTCATGCATATTAACGGTAAAAACCGGGAATAATACTTTAAATTAAATGTGGAATTGATTTAGAGAGTTTTATTTGTAAAAGATAAAAGATAACAAAAAGTTATTCGTGAAAATATCAAAAAAAAAAAGAAAGTTTTTTCATGAATGATTCTTGGAGGACAGGTAAAAGAGCAACAAATGAGTGGAGGATTTTTCAAATTTATGAAAAAATTTTTAAATTATTTGGTGACCAATTCAAGTCCAATGACATTTTCAATTTGATATTTATTTCCAAATATTCATAAATTGTCTTTGTCCTATTGAACTTGTACTGAAAATATGCTAAATTTAATATTTAAATGAAACTATTGAAATGCAAATTTCTGAAATCTATTAAAATAATAAGGCATAAATGCGCACATTCCTTGATCATAAATGGAGAATATTTGAAAAGATTGAGAAAACAAAAATAACTTGTCAAGATTAATTGAATAAAATGAGATTGATTTAATCATTTATGAATATTAAATTAATTAATTAATAAAGTGAAATCGATTTAATCATTTAGGAATATTAAATTACTTAATTAATGAATACTGGAAAAGTTTTATCATATTCATATGCCAAAGCTGTCATAAATTTTTTCGAAACTAAGATTTTTCTATTACATTCAAATCAAGAATAAGAAAAAAAAAAAAAAAGAAAAGAATAGCATTCATCATGTATTATACGTTTTATGTAATCATTTAAAAAAAAAAAAAAAAAAAAAACTTATTTTATTTACTTAATTGCTCATTTTATTTGCTTCACTAACATAACATAAAACTAAATTATTTGTTTAAATGTTTAATTGATTTGATGAATTTTGCATACTTACAAAAATGTACTTAAAGTACTTTTATGCTAGTTTACATTAGCATTTTAATTTAATTTCTATCACTTTAACTTCTTTTTAAATAAATAATATGACGAAAAACTCTAATGGAAACGATGTGATGTTAGTTAGTTTCAAAAATAAAATAAAATTTTTTATTACTTACTTTTATTGATTGTTTAAAAAAAAAGTTGATGAATTGAACAAAATCAAAATAAGCAAACTATCATTATTGTTGTTATCTCATTCATCTGATAGGTTTTTCATAGTATTTCAGACTGGTTCCAAATGGGAGGACATCATCATTCATTTAAATAAATTTATTGAAATGATTCATTTTTAATATTCCCATTATTAAATACATACCTCAGTTTTTTTAAAAATTTTTCGTAACTGAATTTTATTTCAATGGAACTAATAATTTTCTGGCTCTTCCACTAAAGTATTAATTTCACTTTTCTTGCAAAAAAAAAAAAAAAAAAAAAAACTTAATTTACGATTTTCAAAAAAGTTTTTAGTTACAAGGAGAATTTGTAATTATTCAATTCAAGAAAAGAAAAACTACAAAAGTCTTTTGTAATTTGAGCAAATTTTTTAGTGAATGTTTAATTTTACATTCCAAATTTGTAGGATTTTGAAATTGTATTTGGATGATTTGTTAGAATTTGTGTATCGAAATGGAATTGTCTCATTAATTAATCAGAAATCTATGAATTATATGCATTCAAATTATTAAAAGACATCAAATCGTTTGAGCATTTTAAAACTTTATTTTCCTAAACCTCTATAAAGTATATGTGAGGGATTAGTAATTCAATTATTAAAGTAATTTGTGAAGTGAAAATACTCATCCGGAAATTACTCATCAAAATTTAAAAGAAATGCTGCATTCATTCGTTACCCAAAATATTCTATCGATGAATAATTTGAAAAATTCTTACAGATAGATTACAATCATTAAAAGTTGACGATTTTGATAAAGGAAAAAAAATATAAAAATCAGTTAAATTGTTGAAAAGTATGACTAATTCGATGATTAAACTTAACGTTATTCATTCAATGCACTCCAACCTCTGTCAACTTCATCTTTTCTGAATTATTTTAAATGCACTTTGAATCTTTCCTTTAAATCTTTCCCTATTAAACTTAACTCCAAATATACTCATTTAAATTTACTCAATTAAATTGTCTAAAATTTAAATTATTATCAGAAAAGTTTTAAAAAGTTCAAGTAAAATGTATTTTTGATATTTACATAACAGAAAATGAAATGAGAAAATTCTTGAATAATTTGAGAATTTTAATTGTCGGGATAAAGAGGAATGAAAGAGATGAAGATTGAAGAATTACGAATCAGACTTGAGTCTGATAACTGAAATTATCAACAAGTCGAAAAAGGAATGATAAGATGAAGAATGCATGACTGAAACATGTTGTGAACAATATTTTGAGCAAAATTTCTAGTTGAACATAAAACAACCACAATTAACAATGCTGGTATACCTGTTGTTTACCTGCCATCCATCCAACAATGCACATTGCAATGTCAATAACTGATGCAATGAATTGAGTAATGCAATCGCATCCAATTAATTAATTAATTAACTGATACTATTTATTCAGTTACCTCATTTTAATTAATCCAATATTTAATTAATCCAATACACTTTATTATCAAAATTTAATACAGGCATTCACCTGCATTCACATTACAAAGTTTGTGGGCATTTTTTTTTCTTATTGCTAATAATGTTATTAGGTTATTGCATAGATATGTGACACAGTGGGAATCTTCCTTATGTGTCACAATTAGCAATACGTAAGGTTATCAACTGTGACAATTTGTTTTCTGATAAAAAGTTTGCATAATTAAGTTTCATGCTTGTCAACGTTTCTCATTTCCTTGGAGTAAGAAAAATCAATTTTACCTGTTTGATATCAACATTAATTTTCTTCGTATGTTAATAACACGGATATCACATTGTGTCTTTAAAAAGATCTTTAAAAAAATTGTAATTTAAAAATTTCAAACCAATTTATTGGACGGAAATAATGGCAGAAAAATGCGTAAAAATATAATTAAAATATGAACCATTAATTGATAATATGCCTGAAAAGTTCCTCCACAATTCGAATAAAAAAAAATAAAATACGCCCACGCTTTCCTCTGTTCATAAAATCATTAAAAAAAAAAGTTGAGTTTACCAGAACGAGTTTGCTTATTTTCTCTAGCTTATAAATAGTTTATCTATGAATCATCAAATTTACCTTTACTGAGGGAAAGCTAAATGCTTAAGAATTAAATTTATGTATATGCCTATTTCGTATAAGATGGGAAAATTATAGTTCAATGATCAAAGGTTACAACTTAATCTTTTACCGCTTTTCTCTTCCTACACAAATATTTAGTTATGCGCGGAAAATAATAGAATTGCAAATTGTGCAGGAAGGCAATTTCAGAATCAACTAATGATGTTTGATCTTAAATTTTCTAACAAAGGACATTGTGCATCAGAATATTACAACAGTAAAATAAATGAATAGGAATTGGAGACTTCATTTAGAAGATTTAAGTAATATCAAATTTTTTTTTCGCTTCCGAAAACATATTGCAAATGTAAGGAATGAAATAGTATGAGTGAAAGAAAGAGCTTTTTTGGTGTCAATCCGGTTTGCGACAGTTTACTAAAAAGAAAAAGTTGCAGCAAAGAAGGAAAAATGAATGAGTGAACATTACTTCTATAGATTACATCGTTTCATTTTTACCTTATAAATATGTTTACATGACAAATTTTCGAATTTTTTGAAAAAATTAATTAGATATTTGAAATCTAAAATTAAAAATTTTTAATTTTATTTAAAAATAATGTAGATATTTTGTTGCGTTATTAAATAATTAATTGTTTGGCTACTGACTTTGTCATTTCAATTAAAATATTAATTAATAAATGAATATACAAACGGAACCGTTTTAATATGAATGAACAATACAAAAAGATTGCTATCTATTTGTATAACTTTTAACTCATTTGCTTTTGATAATTAAATTATAACGTGACATTGACAATTTCAATTATTTAGTTTTGGCAAAATTTGAAATGCTTTCAATCTCATTTTTTTTCAAGTAATTCATATTTCTGAAATTGAAAATGCAATATTGAACTTGAAATGCTATAATTCAGGATTAAATTCAATTAAGCCAATTAAGCAGTGACTTTCAGAAAGAAAATTTGAGTAAAAAGAAGAATAACTGAAGCTGGACAGGTAAATACAAGAAGATACATCAAACAGATTTTCATTTCTTCGTCCATCGTCCATCTCTAAATGTCCATTTCTAGCTTTCAAAATTTTTTTTTTTAAAAAAATAGAAAGTTGATTGTTTTTAAAAATTTCGAACAACAAAATTTTACAAACCAATGAGGCAACTTGACTACATAATAAGTGGAAAAGCAATTAGTGATGGAAAACAGTGACAAGAAGAGTGGAAAAGTGAGAGAAGAGTTGAATTGGAAGAAAACAGGATTTGTATTGCATGCAGTGTTGCATGTAATCTATTGCATTGCGATGTATTGCATGCAATTTGCTGCATGCAAATAACTTCAATTTTCGCTATAAATTTCGATGAAATTGTAAAGCAAAAGCAAAAAAAAAGAAAAAAAGCAAAAATATCGGAAAGTTGGATGTAATATTCTTTCCGGCGATTAGTTTTACGAATTTTGAATATTAAAGTGTTTGATGCTTTAGAAAAGGTCAAGTTAACATTGGTGATAAATTGTGTCATCA